AACTGCTTTTATGCCACTTTATTCATCACCCTCTATGAGCAACAGACGTATCTATCACAATGATAAATAAAAAAAATTAAAAAATCTGTCCCCAAAATAATTGCCCCCAGCCATTATATTAGTATTATAATCCTATAAACCATGGCACAATGAACTGTTTCCCTTCCATTGCAGCCATTGGGACAGACTTAATGTCAGTTCTAGTGGACCTCCTGGTGCTCTCTGAGCTGGGTGGTTTGCTTGCAGACGTCTCATTACTCAACTAGGTACACCATCAGTGCTGCTGAGTGTGGGGTTTGCTGCCTGTTTATATACAGTAGCTTGCCCTGCCAGTGTGGGTGGTGGTGTGGTTTCCTCCTTGGTGGTTCCTTGCTTTGAGCCTTGTTTTCTGCCTGATTGTCTTGTGTTGATCCCTGCTTATATGAATGTTGCCTGCTGGAGGGGATGTGTTCTAGTCCTTCGGCTTCCTTCCTAGGTTTTCTATTGTCTCTTTTGAATAGTGTGTAAATGTGGTTTATCTCTATGTGTCTATTGATGGCTGATACCCTCGTCTGTCAGTCCTAGTGTTAGCCTAGAGCAGTGTTTCTCACTCTTGCTGGCTGGGAAATTCTGGGAGTTGAAGTCCACACATCTTCAAGCTGCCAAGGTTGAGAAACACTGCTTTAGAACTATTGCTGGTTTGGGGTCTTATTCAAGACTAGGAAGTTTCAGGGACTCCGTTTATCCTGTTTCCAATATCAGAGAGATTTCTGGGGCAAGATGGTATTCTGAGGTCAGAGAACTCGCTCTCTCTGCCCTTGCAAACAGAAATCCACCCTAAATTGGGATCCCCTGGATGTCTTCCCAGAGATGCCTTCCAAAACATCAGAGAACCACTGCTATAGTGTCTGTGTATGAACTGACTCACTGAACTATTCTTTTCTATCATGATTGAAATAAACATGGATTCATTTCTGAATTCCTATGAAGGATCAGACTTGTTCACCCGCAGTTCACATTTCTTTTTAGAGTATACAAATACTCACTGGTCGTGTATAAAATATCCGCAAGACCCGTCTGAAGTTTTTCAGATGTCCAAAGAAACTCAAAAGCTGAAAAGCCAAGAGAGAAAAGAACTGTAGCCTGTCCTGTAACAATAGTTCACTTGGCATTTTGGATCAAAGGCATTTTTCAGAAGAATTTGAAGTTCCTCAGTGTCATGCAACGATTACTAAAATTCCTGCTTGTGTCCTTATGAGCTTAAACCACATAAAATCAAGTCTATACATGTGCTCCTTAATATGCCAGAGACCACATCTGGCCAACCCCACATGAGCCTACAAACTAAGCAAGGTTTTCTTGGATGGGAGTCCACTACAAAATTCTAGTATAGGCCAGGCTGGGAAGGTAACTTTACTTAGATGATGGAGAACAACTCCCAGCTCAGTGCAGGAATTGTGCACCAGTGGTGACTCTAACCTCTGCTTGAAGCAAAAAAGCTAACGGGGAACCTACCACCTTCCTTAGTCAAAGGTGAGACAGACTGAATTTCTAAAAAACATTAAACCAGATAAACAGACAAGAGGACCACGTAAAGATAGGAGTAGTGCAACTCCTTTGGTGTAACAATATCTCTGATTGCCCAGCATAAAAGCAAAGAATCTATAGCCACTGATAATATCAAGGCCTGAAAGGGGATTCTGTAAAGAGGAGGTGTGCACCCATTATGCACCTACACATACATACGGATGAGGAAGCACTGTAACCGCTTTGTGTGAGATGGGTGGCTACATAAACATGACAAATAAATAAATAAAAATAAACATTTAAAGCTGTGCTTCTACTATTGCTCCATTCCTTTTAGTATAAGAGGGTCAGAAGCATATGAGTGTTTACCTTTAGTATAAGATATAGCAAAGCCAGCAAGACTCCAAAACTCCACCCTAATGTGCCATCCGATTCCCTTAAGCCAACAAAATATCGAAACCAAACAGGAACAGGAACAATCTTACAATAGCACTGGCAGAGTTCTTCTAAGAGCATATACCAGTAACCCTGTGAAAAGCAAGCGAAATGCAAAAAAGATGGGCTTTAGTGGAAATATTCATACGATGCTCATATTTCTCAGCAGGTTGCTACGTATTTTCAAGACTCAAAACACAAGTCCAGAAGCCATATGGCAAGGTATCCTTTTTGGGAGTCTGACTTTAAGTCACAAATGGGGAAAAGTGTGGGTGTAAAGGTTGCCCCCCAGTAAAAGCTTTACCTCCTTCCAGAGCAAAGAAAAGTAGCACATCAGGGAGATGGAGAAGTTAGAAATGTTTTGTCTGACCAGCTCACATTCCACAAACAGGAATTTTTGACAAATTTTCCACCTGCAATTTGAACTTGTCCAATTTAGTCAGGGTTTCACAATGGAATTTCATTTCCCATCCAGCATATGATCCAAGTGAATGGGAACAATGCAAGAAGATACCCATTCCTATCAATTGGACAAGCACAGAAGACTGTAGAAGGTAAAGCTTGTTTATTGTTAGGTATCTCCTATCATTTGGTGAAGAATTGCACTGTATATAAAGCTTTTGCAAAGCTCTCATTTTCTTAGATATAATACTGAACTGAGAGCCAGTCTGATGTACTAGTTAAAGCATCGGGCTAGAAACCAGTAGACTGTGATTCTAGTCCTGCCTTAGGCACAAAGCCAGCTGGGAGACTTTGGGCCAGTCCCACCCAGCCCGAGGAAGAAGGCAGAGGCAAATCACTTTCAAAAAATGTTGTCAAGTGGACTTACTTACAGACTTGTTTCTAGTAATGCAAAGAAATTTCTTTAGGCATCTAGGCAGTACAGGTAATCCTTGTTTAGTGACCACAATTGGGACCAGAAACTCAGTCATTAAGTGAAGCGATTGGTAAGTGAAACCGCATCTGTGCTTATGATCTTCCTTAAGCTTTCCTTTGCTTACAGACCTGAGAAGGTTGTAAATGCAAGGATTGGTCGCAAAGTTACTTTTTCATCACTGTTGTAACTGCGAATGGTCACTAAATGAGGACTACCTGTATTCCAGAGCCATTTTACAAAGATCAGCACAGCCGTCCCTGTGTGGGTACCTGGTGGAGGCTTATTAGAAATGATTCAAGTTTTGGTTGAAATACATCTATAGGCACTGCGAGGAGGAAAACTCTGCATTGTCACTATTTTTTTACCTGGTAAAGCTTTTGGACCAATTTAAAAATCTGGATCTCTGCTGATCAAGCAGGATTTTCATAGCCTACTTTTAACAAGATCATATTTAATGATTTAGAAAGCAATCAAAATTTATCAAGTCATTAAACCTTCTGTTCTCCTCCTAATTGTTTAAGCCCAATGAAATACTGCTGTTCTTCAGTCATAGCTCAAAGCATTATGAGACGTCAGCATTAATATCAAACTGTCAGTACTTTGTCACAGATCTTTCACCGCTAATTACTAAATGCACTTAACAGCGCATGTTGATATTTCAACCATGCTTGGGGCCAGTGGCATTTATGGCATCCATTATTAATGAAGATATTAACCCCACCCTTGCATCAGAGCTTTTTTCCCAGGCTATAAAAATCAGAAAGTATGGGGGGAAATTATGACAGAAGCAGTGTGATGTGGAGAGCGTGAAGAGAGATGTTTTTCTACATCTTTCGAATGCTAAGTCCAGATGCCACTGGGAGGTGGAAGGTTTAGGACAGACAACAGGAAGGACTTCTTCACACATTTATGGTTAAACTATGGAAATTTCTGCCACACAATAACAGGTCATGGACAAGCAGACCAGAGTCTACTGGACATGATAGCTGCCTGCCTCTAACTACGTGACTGAGAGGCATCAGGCCTCTAAATACCAACCACTGGAGAACAGCAGCAGAAGACAAATGGCCTATTCCTGACCTTCCAAAAAGCCATTTGGCTGGCCGCTGGGAAAGAAGATGCTGGATTAAATATACTTTTGGTCTGAGCCAGCAGGGCTGGGCTAAAACATCTCTATGCTACTTTTCCTGGTAAGGTGGTTTGCAACCACTTGTTCCCCACCTCTGCTATTGCTTTGTTTCATTC